GCATGGCATCCTCCTCCATACCCGCTTACCCTGCCCGACTGTAACCAAGAGGGGTGAATAAATAGTGTTTTTACTGAATGCTAGTTGAGAGGTTTACTGCCTGCACCCTGCCCTTTCCCTTAGGATTTGCTCAGAGCAGAGTTCCGTGGTGGAAGTCGATGTTCCTTCTTCCTTTTGGTGCTTGGCGTTGCCTTCTATGTGCTGAAACTGTCACAGAGAAGCTGATTTCTGTTGTTAAAAAATGTTTTGTTTCGGATGTGTCGTATAGAGGCGTCACACTGGCACCGGGAGCTCCCAGAGGCCCATGGCTGTTGGGTTGGGAGAGGTACTGGCAGGGGGGTGGATAAGGTGGATAACTTCGGTCATGTCAGAAACAGCCCAGTGCAGTGTCCCAGAGGGACTGCCAGTGATGGGGAGAGACATTTCTGAGAGGGAAAGTTCCTGCTGCACGCATTCTCCCCTCTCCTGCTTTGTTAGTAGGGATTTTCTATGGAAGCAGAGTCTTTGTTCCTTCCCAGTGCTCCTGGTCAGCCTCCTTTGCTAGGAAATGAGCAGGAACAGCAGATCTTAGGAAACAAAGGTCTTTTTTGCATGTAAATGCTCCTGAAGAATGGCAGCAACCCGGGAGACAAAGCAAAGCTCTTTCCACAGAGAAATGCAGGTCCTGGCTTCATTTCCACCCCCTCTGCAGTGCTGGGGGACTGACAGGGTCCTGTTCCTCACAGAACCTCCCAGGCTGGACCAGAGAACCATGGGCTGGGACCTGCAGCTCCGAGGTTGCAGGTGGACTAACCTGGCACTGTTTTCTTTATTTATGAAACTGTATGCTGGGAATTTGACTGGGAGCAGCTTCTTACCAGTTGGACCTGTAAGTGGGAGGGGGGGCTGGTTGTGTGTTGTTGGTTTCTTTTTGGCTGTCTTTGTTTTTAGTTTTCCCTTGCCATTAATAAAAACTCTACTTTTGGGAAGCTGCCCACGTGGCACAGATCTGTGCTTCCTGCTGTGGTGCTGTGGCTGCCACAGGGGCTTTGCTCCCATTAGCAGCACTGGACAGAGAGTGATGCCTCCCTACAACCTTGGTATTCCCCCCTGGGCTCCTGTGATCCGCTTAGGTCAGGGATTTGGGATTGCTCCGTTCACTCCTCCAGGAGCAGCAGGGTTTGCATGAGGCAGCTCTGCTCTCTGACCCCTGTGCTGTCTGATCTCCTGAGGCAAAACAGGAGACAGGGCTCAGCTCCTGTAATTCCAGCTTTTTCTGGTCCTGATATTTGATGCTGGTGCAGGAGGATCTTTCTGCCACCTCACCAGGACTCGGGGCTGAGCCACGCTCCTTGAGAAGCACTTTGGAGGAGTGGAGGCAATGCCCTTGGGTCCTTGGGCCCTCAGATTCCTCACTAGAGGAGCCCAGGCACAATCCCCATCCACGAGGCAGAGACACAGTCAGCATTCCCTGCCCCAGCTCTTCCCAGGCAGTATCTGCCTTTGTCCTAGGGCTGGAAAAGCTTCTATTGTCCCAGGCTAAGGAGCTTTTGTAGGCCTTTGAGGAGCCTTCAGGGAGGACCAAGGCCCTGTTCCTCCCAGAGCAGCCATTGCTGGGAGCTGCAGAAAAGAAGTTGGTGCTGGTGTGGGAGCACTGAAAGGGCAACAGGTTAAGAGGATGAGAGAGCTGGGGTGGTGCAATTCAGAGAAATTCCAGAGAAAAACATGCCTGGGGAGCTGGAATTTAACCCTTTATAGCAGGGTAGCTAAAATTGGGGCTCAGCCCTGTGCCAGTGTGGGTCTGGGAGCTGTGTCCCAGCCAGAGCAGGACTCATGTCCCCAGTGCTCAGGACAATGGTGGGAGCTCTGAGGAACAGCTCAAACCCCTCAATACCCACCCAGCTCTGGGTGTTTCCCTCCTGTGGGATCAGCCCTGGGATTTCCCCTGGATGCCACCCCCAGTGCCATCCTTTCCCCCACAGACAGGGCTGAGGCAGCACCATCTGCTCGAGCAGATGTAACTTTATTTCACAGCCAAGACCCGCATGGGACAAGGGGAGCTCAGGACTCTCATGTGTGCTTGGACTCAGCTTTGCTTTTCAGCCTCTTCTTTCTGTTCCTCTCTTTCCTCCTCCCCTTCCCGCTGGCAGTGGGGACCGGGGATGGAGTGGCCGGCATTGGCTCCCTGCCTAAGCCCTTCTGCACTGGGGCATCACTCAGGATGGTGTTGGACGCTTCCTCCCAGGATGGCAGCAGAGCCCAGGGGTCATGGCCCGCAGAGGGATCAGTGGGGGCAGCAGGTGCAGGACGGCTCTGCGCCCCCTTTTCAGAAGGGCCTTTCTTTTTCAGACCTTTTCCTTTCTTTTTCTTGTCTTTCTTCTTCCCCTTCCTCTCCTTCTTGGCTGACTTGAGGGCTGTCTCAGTGTGATGGTCCTCAGGGAGGGTTCCTCCACCCACGCTGTTCCAAGGGGGGCTCAGAGGGACCCCCCTGGGCCTCGCTGCCCGGTCGATGAGCTCCCCACCAAACTCGTACAGCACCGGCTCCCTGGGCACCGCGACGGCCACCGTGTTGTACGCCTTGCACCTGCAGAGAGAGGAGGCACCAGGTGAGGTGACCTCCAGTGGGGCCAGGCGGGGGGACAGTGGTGGGAGCCACTCACCAGACGTAGAGGTAGGGCTCCACACACTCCTCCTTGTAGGTGAACTCGAAGCAGGGCACCTGGATGACGTTGAAGAAGGCCTGGCCCACCGCCCGGGAGGCCGTGTCGTTCACCCGCCGCAGGCACTCCTTCAGCCTGCGGTCGCAGTCGCAGTGGCTGATGGTGTGCCAGCGCAGGTTGCGGTACCCGTAGCGCGCGGTGAAGGGGTGGATGACGTGCTGGCAGTGGTCATGGTCCCGGCAGCACCGGTCTGTGTCCCGGTGCTCCCCTGCAGGGAGGTGCAGGCAGAGCTGAGGGGCCTGCACGTGTGAGCTGGGGCTAGATGGGGTTGGGATCAGGGCTGGAGTGGGGCTGAGCTGCGCTAGGACTGGGATCGGGGTTAGATTTGACTGAGCTGGGCTTGGAATTGTAGTGGGATGGGTAGGGACTGGTGCTTGGGTGTGGACAAGGCTAGCACTGGGATGGGGACTGGAGCTGTACCAGCATCGCAGTGGGGATGAGACTAGGACTAGGCTGGGGTCAGGAAGGGGACCAGGACTGGACCAGGACCAGGAGACGGTCTAGGCTGGGATCAGGATAGCAACTGAGAGTGCACCAGCACTGGGATGGGGACCAGAATGGGAGTGGGATAGACCGCAGATGAGGCTGGAGACAAAGAGTGGATCAAGACTAGACCAGCACAAAGATGGATTAGTCTTGTGATAGGGACTAGGCAGAGAGAAACTGGGACTGGACTGGTGCTTGGCTGGGGACTGAACTGGGGCAGACAGGGATTGAACTAGCACGGGGGTGGGGACTGGAGTAGCTCAGCACTGGGATACAACTGGATCAGGATTGGTGGGGACTTAGCCAGCGCTGCACTGGGGACTGGGAATGGGATGGGAATGGGATGGGAATGGAATGGGAAGAGATGGGATGGGATGGAACTAGAGGGAAGGGATGGGATGGGAAAAGATAGGATGGGAAGGAAAGAAAGGGAGTGGATGGAATGGAGTGGAATAGGAAGAACTGGGAGGGATGGGATGGGATGGGATGGGATGGAAGGGATGGGATGGGAAGATACAGGTAGCAGCTGCCCCGCTGCCCTTACCCAGCTCTTCGTAGGTATCCGCGTTGCTGCCCGCGCCGCACCACAGTGTCCCGGGGTAGGTGAGCCCGCGGCGGGCGCGGGGCCGTCCCGGCGGGGCCGCTCCGGGGGCGACTGCCAGCGGGAGGAGGAAAAGGAGGAGGAGGAGGCGGAGGCGGCAGAGCAGCCCCGGGGCGCACATGGCACCGCGCCGCTCGCTGCCGTGGGGCCGCCTTATAGAGTCGCGCAGCCCGCCCACGCGGGGCGGCCCGGCACGGCTTGGCACGGCCCGGCACCGTGCGGAGGGTCCCGCAGAGCCGCGGTGCTGGAGCCACTCCCGGAGCCGCGGCACGTCCCGCGCCGGCAGCCCGCGGGGAAGGGGTCACCCCTCCCGGTGGGACCGGCCCCGTTGCTGTGGCAGCCGGTGGGGTGATGTGCCGGGGCCGGTAACGAGCCGTCCACAAACCCCCGCCCCGTGACGCACCCGCCCCTGCACAGCCCCCGGCCCCGGAGCGGCCCCGACAGAAGAATGATGCTCTCCCTGCATCCCTAAGTCCCATTCCACGGATGCTTCCTGCAGCCCTATATCCCAGCCCATAGATGCTCTCCACATCCCCATGCCCGATCCTGCAGATGCTCTCCACATCCCATCCCATGAATGCTTATGGCATCCCCACATCCCATCCCATGGATGTTCCCTGTGGCCCTGCATCCCATCCCATTGTTCCTTTCACGGGACAGCCCAGTGCCTCATGCCCAGCCGGGCTGGCAGCCCACAAGGCACCGGCATTCCCAGCACACTGCCAGGTCTGTCCCTCTTGGCCAGCTCCAGGCCTTGGAGCCCATTGACAATCCAGACACAGCTCTGGCAAGCTGGGAAGCTGCAGGAGCCAGCGTTCAGCCGGAGAGAACAGTGCCTGGACACCCCAAAATGGTGGTCTCAGAAAGTCCCTGCACTGACTGAGATCCCTCAGGAGTGCAGGGGAGTGCAGAGGCAGCACCCTGAGCATCACCCTGGCTCGCTGACCCTTACACCCATGGGGTACTTCGAGCACTGTGCCACCCACACCATGTCCTGTCACCGCTGGCACAGGCGGCTGGTGCTGGGGACACTCCTGTGGGGTGCAAACACCCAACCCGGGTGCTCCCTACCACAACACTGCCTGGCTGGGACACATCCCCAGCCCATGGGAAGGGCTCCCGCCTGGCAGCAGCCCAGGGTCCAGCTGGCCGAGGGCACTGGCAGGGGCCCAGTGCTGCAGGGGCTGCCCCCGCTCAGCTGTCGCTGTCTGTGATGTTCCCATTCGGCTCAGCCTCGCCACCAGCACCCAGGTACGGAGCTGAAAAAGGCACACTGGGCCCTCAGGGTGCCCACGTGTGGGCATGGGTGGGGAGGGTGGGGGACACCATGCCACAGGGAGCCCTGTGGGGGCTGCAGGTGGGGAGTCTCACCCCCATTACGTGCTCAGTGCTCGCAGTGCCCGCAGTCCCCACACATGGACCTGTCTCACGTCCCTGCTGCCCGGGAGAAGGGCTGGTACCTGGCGCTCATGGCCCCCAACGTCAAGGGTCCCAACTACGCCTGGCTGGACCCCTCCCGGCTCTACTGCCACCCGCAAGTACCCAGTGCCCGGGGCGGATGGCCTCCGCGGGGGTGTGAGGGTGGGCTGCACCTCTGCAGGGCTGCCGGGGCACCCAGCCCTGCCCACGAGCACCAGCGCCAGGGCTGCAGGTGCCCGTGGTGGGCTGTGGGCACCCAGCAGCTCTGATCTCCCCCCAGGGCTTGCAGGACTGTGTGGCCGACCTGCTGCAGCCCTTCCAGGGAGATCCCATCGACATGGTGGCTGGCATCGATGCCATGGGCTTCATCCTGGGTGAGTGGGGACATGAGTGAGCGCAGGGTTCCTCCCCATGCCCTGTCCATGTGGGGCCTGATGGTGCTGTGCCCACCCCAGGTGCTGCCGCCGCGGCCATGCTGCAGAAAGGCTTCCTGGCCATCCGCAAAGCCGGGCACCTCTGTGTGCAGACAGTGGCACAGCCCTACACCGACTACTCGGGCCGGGAGAAGGTGATGGAAGTCCGCACTGATGCCATCTCGCCAGGTGAGTGCTCCCATTCTGGGGGGGGGCTGCCAGCGTGGGCACTGGGCACTTATCCACAGCCTCTGCCCCCTCCAGGTCTGCACATCCTTCTCGTGGACCAGTGGGTTGAAACTGGGGGCACCATGCGAGCGGCCATTGGGCTGGTGGAGCGGCTGGGGGGGGTCGTGGCAGGTAGGACTGCAGGCACCAGGGCACCATTGGGTGCACCTTTTGGTGCAGTGGGACCACCATCCTCACACCCTGGTGCTGAGCCCCTCCATGTCCCCGCAGGTGTCGCTGCCATCTGCATCGAGGACAGCGAGGGCGGGCGGTGGATCCGGGAGCGCTACAAGTGCTCCCACTGTGTCCCCCCCCACCTGCAGCCCCGCTTCGACCACCACCAGTTTGGCTGGGACTGACTGACTGGCACCTCATGTGTCCCCTGCAGCCCCTCGAGGAGTGCAGGGCTGCTGGCTCTGCAGGGCAGGATGCCCCAGACATCCACTACAGATGGAACTCCTCCTCGGTGGCAGCCATCCATCCTCCCTGCCTCCGTCCTTCCACCTGCCCATGAGTCTGGGGGCTGCAGCCCCGGCCCTCTGCCCCACATTTTTCTTAAAAAGCATAAAAAACGTTTTATTAAGACAAAAGGGCATCTCCTTCTGCGAGCAGTACCTGGGTTTGCATAGCTACAGGAGCCACATGGGTGCTCCTGCCCACCCTGGCCAGGGATGCCTGGGCAGGCGAGGGGCCAGGGGGGCTGGGGAGTGGCAGGGACGGCTCCTCGGGGCCGGCCAGGGTCGCCCCTCTTTGGTCCATAGGTGTGAGCATGGCGGGCGCAGGGGGTGTCCCCTCACTGGCAGCACTTGGGTTTTTTGCGGGGTGTCGACAGGTACAGGTCGCTCTCATTGCTGCTGATCCCTGCAGGAGAGAAAGGAGGGTGAGTGGCTGTGTAGGGGATAAGGGGAGGCACCTACTCGGGGCCAGCCGGGGGTACTCACGCACGGTGTCGCCGATCCTGCGGGTGTGGCTGCGCTCCAGCTCGGCCAGCACGCTGCTCTCGAAGGTCAGGGCCGCCACACGGAAGAAGAAATCCCGCACGTTCTCCCCTGCCCCGCAGGATGAGACCCCCTGAGTGCCCCCTCACCCGGCTGGATGCCGGGATCTGCATTCCCCCCACTCATCCTGGAACCCACCAGTGAGTGAGGAGACAGCCCAGTACTCCGCCTGCATCTCCTGGGCCACCTTGAGAGCGTCCTTCTCCATCAGGCTGTACTGTGCTGGTGTCTGCCAACAGAGCCGGGGGGAGCGGGTGACGGGGACAGCCCTGCTGAGCCAGGGTGCAGTTTGCCCACGGGGAGGGGGACACACTCACACTCAGATCCTTCTTGGAGCCCACCAAGAAGAGGATCACGTTGGAGGGGTCGTTTTCCTTCAGAGCATCAGCCAACCACTGCCTGTGGGGGCCACTGTCACCAGCCGGTGGCCAAGCTTGCTGGCACACCACAGCACAGTGTTGCCAGCAGTCCTGTGGCCCCTGCCCAGGTCTTCCCTCTCCATCCAGCCTCAGAGCCCCCTCATGCTTGTTCCCAGTCCCATCTGGGCCCTTTGGCCATGTGTCACCTACCGTGTGTGCTCCAGGGACGCCACATCGTTGACATCGAAGACGATCACAATGGCTGGGGTGGGAAGGAGGGATGAGATGGGGACAGGGACAGTGTGACAGAGAGGTCAGACAGGGTGGGCACCTCACCTTGTGCTCCCCGGTAGTAAGTGGAGGCGATGCACTTGAAGCGCTCCTGGCCGGCTGTGTCCCACCTGGGGGGGGGGTGAGAGGTGAGGGGGGCCCAAAGGGCTGGGTGGGGAGGGGGCTGGGCCAGTGCCTACTCACAGCTGAAGGCTGAAGGGCACCCCCAGCACCTCAAACCGCTCCATCTCGAAATCCACCCCGATGGTCGCCTTGTAGTTCTTGTCGAATGTGTCCTTGCAAAAGCTGGAGTGGGAGTGAGGGTGGGTCAGCAGCCCCCAGCCCCCCCACTCCAACCCCTGGGGCCTCAGTGCCCCCCCCAATCCTGGGGATGCTCAGCACCAGAGTCCAGCCAGAGCTGGACTCAGCCCAAGGCGCTGCCGCCCTTTGGGAGAGGGGGATCACTTCCCCTTTCCCCCCTCCTCCCTCCCCTCTCTGGGGGTCCTGTTACCGGTTGATCAGGCAGGTCTTCCCCACCGACAGGTCGCCCACCACAATGATCTTGGAGATCTTGAACCTGCAGCGAGGGGGGGACGCACGGCTCAGCAGGGCGGGGGGGGGGCCTCCCCCCCTGCGTCCCCCTGACTGGTCACTGGGGGCAGAGGGGTTCATAGGGTGGGGAGGTATCACCCCACAGCCCCCCTCCCCGTGTCTGCAGCTCCCTGCGTCCCGGTTCTCCCGCCACAGCCGAGTCCGGACTCCTGCGTTCCCCCAGCCCGTGTTCCCCCCGTGTTCCCCCCGCGCCGCATTCCAGGATCGTGACGCAGGGCTCGGCACACGGGTAGCGCCGGCAGCCACGCGGCGCCCACGCCAGGGACCCCCACCCGTGGCGGGCAGGACCGTGGGGTCCCTCGTCCCCACTCCCTCCCAGCCCCGCGGTGGGGACCCCAAACCACTCCGGACTCACCCCACAGTGCCCGTCCGCTGCTCCTGGCAGGCGCTGGCCACTGTGGGGTGGAAGGCGGGGCGGGTTTGCAGGGCGGCCTCCTTCCGAAAACACTGCGGGGGGACAAAGGGGGGCACCGGTGTGACCACGGGGCTCGGCGAGGCCGCCCCCGGGCCGGTGTGTCCCCTCCGCTCACCGGGGGCAGGTCGGCGATGACCCGGTCCCTGCGGACCGGAGCCAGCACGTTCATCGTCCCGTGGGGTCTCCGAGGCGGGGTGGGTGGCTGGGGGGAGCAGAGATGGGACAAGGATCACTGTGAGGCCTGGGGACAGAGAGAGAAGGGAGTGGCGACGTCCCCGTGTCACGGCTGTCCCTGTGCACAGCATTCCAGAATAGCGTTGTCTGTGTCCCCAGGCAGGGCTGTCCTCTTATCCCAGTAGTCTCCCACTTTCCCAAGATGTGGTAATCCTCATGTCCTGACTCTCCCCGCACCCCCAAGGGTGGCTGTCCCCCAGACCCAGCCACCTCGAGCTGGGTGGAACTGTGGTTGTCCCCACACCCTGGGCACAGCTGTCCCGCGTGTCTCCGCTGTCCCCGTGTCCCAACCAACGCCCCATCCCAAGTGTGCCATCCCAGGGTATCACTGTGCTCCCGCCCTGAGCTGTGGCTATCCCACATCCCGGCATACAGCTGTCCCCACGTCCCACCGTCCCTACACCCCTACATACCCGGGTACCACTGACCCCACACCGCACCTACCCCCGTGTCCCAGCCACTCTCACATCCCCACAGTGCCATCCCAGGCTCACCGTTGTCCCCGTGTCCCACCTCCCGCAGCCTGGCTGTCTCCGTGCCCACCCCCGTTCCCATCTCCGCGTCCCCTGTCCCCTCCCATCCCGTGTCGCCCCTGCACAGCCACCACCGTCCCACCGCCGCATCCCAGCGCAAGACCAAGCCCTCCCCGCCTCGTCTGTGTCCCCACGGCGGAGGGGATGAAGCGGGGCGTCCCCGTTACCGCGAACCTCCCAAATCCGATAGCGGTGCCCGGCGCTGCACGCCCAGCCCCGGAGGAACCGGCGTCCTGGCCCCTCCCACGCCCCCCTTTGTGGGAGGGACCAGGACGCCGGTTCCTCCGGGGCTGGGCCATTGCATTGCCACCCACGCGGTGGGACACCGGTAACCCCCCGCCACCCCGGGGTTCATCCCGGTACACCCCGCCACGACGGCGGGCGGTGTATAGGACTACAACTCCCGTGGTGCCCCACAGCGCGGCGCATGCGCAAATGTATCATTCGTAAGTACTACTACTCCCAACATGCTTTGAAGCTTACCGCGAGAGTTGGTGCAATGGTGTGTGGGTGGAGTCAGTCCTGCTCTCGCGAGATTTTGCGCTATAAGCCCGTGCGGCGCGGCGCGGGAGACCCCTTTCGGCTTCCTGCGGGCCAAGATGGCGCCCAAGGCGAAGAAGGAGGGTGAGGGCGCGGGGCGAATGGTCCGTGTGTGAGGGGGTGCGGGACGGTGTGAGGGACCCCACGGGGTGCGGGTGTATACGGAGGGAGGCGGGCTGAGCGGGGCGGGGAGAGTGAGGCAGGGTTGCGGCGCAGTGCTGGGTGCGGGCACGTGGAGGTGGCGGGATAGGCCTGCCCGGTTCTCTGAGGGGGGTGTCCCCATCTTGGTGAGGGAAGGACTAAATGCCTCTTTCCTCTCGGGAATTGGTTTGTTCTGGGGGGAAGGGGGGAAATACTAACGCCAGTGGGCGTTTTGTGGTTCATTTTGGTTGGGTGAGGTCCGGCTCATTGACGAGGGGAAGCCGTGCCCGGCTCACTGAGGTGTCTCCATAGCTGTGCCTCCGAAGACAGAGGCGAAGGCAAAGGCGCTGAAGGCCAAGAAGGCCGTTCTCAAGGGGGTCCACAGCCACAAGAAGAAGAAGATCCGCACGTCGCCCACCTTCCGCAGGCCCAAGACCCTGCGGCTGCGGAGGCAGCCCAAGTACCCCCGGAAGAGCGCCCCACGGAGGAACAAGTACGTGTGGGTTGTTGGGCTCTGCCCTGCTGCGGGGTTTGGGAGCGGCCCCGGGGGTGGGCTGGTGTGGGGACCTCCCTCTCACCTGGTCACATTTTGTCAGTGTGCTCAGCCACATGTTGGTGGCAGAACACTGGAGGGATGTTTGGGGTGCAGGTGATGATTTCAAGCGACCAAAGCCTGAGAGTTTGTGATTATAACTTTTTTGGCAACTGATGCACCCCAGACAAAGCCCCCAAAGTGCAGAGAAGCACCTGCCATCCCTCTGCTAAGCACAGGGTCTCTCCTGCAGGTTGGACCATTATGCCATTATCAAGTTCCCTCTGACCACAGAATCGGCCATGAAGAAGATCGAGGATAACAACACTCTGGTTTTCATTGTCGATGTCAAGGCAAACAAGCACCAGATCAAACAGGCTGTGAAGAAGTTGTATGATATCGATGTGGCTAAGGTCAACACGTTGATTAGGTGAGAAGTGGGATAAAAACATGTCACTGGTGGTTGTGAGGTGCTTCAAAAGAAGCATTTTTCAGCTGAAAGTAGGAGTGTGTGAGTTTCAGCAGCTGAGGGAACTCTCAGGAGGAGAGGGACAAAGCTGTGTAGCAATGGCCTCTCCAGGACAAGAGGAAATGGCTTCCATCTCTGCTAGAGGATGTTCAGGTTGGACATCAGGAGGAATTTCTTCACGGAAAGGGTTTTTAAACATTGGAATGGGCTGCCCAGGGAGGTGGTGGAATTGCCATCCCTGGAGGTTTTTAAGAAATTATTTAGCGCCATGGTGTAGTTGACAAGTTGGTGATTGATCTAAGGTTAGACTTGATGATCTCAGAGGTCTTTTCCAACCTAAATAATTCTGTGATTTCAGTGTTAAAAGTTTTGAAACGTGCAAGTTGTGAGGGAGCACAGCTTGATGGAAGTGGGAGGTGTTGGCAGACCAGAGGGTCAGCTTTGTCAGGGGTCTCTTCCAACACCCAGGGGGTCCTGTGCAAATGA